ACCTGCGTTCCGGTTGTTGCTGTCTCTTGTTCATGGTAGCCTTAGATTCATGAAAACTCTGTTTATGTACTTTTCAAACAGATTATGTATTATTTCATACCAGCTTTATATACTCTATTCTTAGAAGCTCTTGATTTGTACTACCAGTTATTGGGGAGTGTACAAGATTAAGACCTTTATTCACTTAAATTGCTTTAATAATTATTATTGAAATTGGATAGTTGGTAATTGGCTAACCTAACGGGTTAGATTAGGTGCCATCACGACTAGTTGGATTTTGGGTCGGGACAACTTGACTCCTCATATGGGGTAAATCATACTTTTTCCATTAGTAAAGTCAATTTGATTATTTCCATTTATTTATTTTCTGATCTTTTACTCTTTTCTGTTCATCTTAAACTTCACGGGTGGATGTAGTATGATGCGGTAGCATTCACTGTTTTCAGTTCGAATTATATATACTAAGTTTGATGGCAACATCAGAAAATAGGAGTGGATCGATGTGTATATATAAAAAAATCATAGATTCGTCTTTGTGTTTGTTCTTTGTTGCGATAGATTTAACTCTGATTAATCTGTATTGATCAACTAGAAAGGGGAAGAAGTAAAGTTTACGTGCAAATTGAAAGTAGAGAATAACTGCATGTATGCGTATTATGCTTTGCTCGTACAAGTTTAATTTCTATACACTGCCAAAATAAAAGAATGTTTACACATCATCTAAAAAATAAGTAACCACATTTAACTAACTGCACATAATAAGTTGAATTAGTTATGTTAGGATCGGAAACTCGAGTAGTGCGGAATATATCCAAACAACGGTATAATGGCAATAACAAAGATAATGGAAGTTAATAACAACGGCAATTAAAACATATAAAGAAGACACTAATTTAACGTGGTTCGCTCAAAGTGACCTACGTCGAGAAGCGGAGAGGAGCAATTTACTATAACAATAAGAGTACAAAAAAGAGTACAAAATTAGAGTAAACACTCTAATTAATCTCAAATACCCTAAGAGAATAATCTCACAAGATCACTCCAAAGAAAGGGTTCACACAAGTACTTTCCAACACTAACTCTCATACAAAACACTCTTAATAAAGGAGAAAAGGAAGAAACAAGAATTGAAGACAAGTCTTGTTGGTGTGTCTAAAATGAACTAATGGCCTTCCTTTTTATAGGCAAAAAAGTCTTGGCATATTAGCTGTAAAAGAAGAGATACAACTTATGCAAATGATGTCCACCATACAATGCAATATTTTTGGGTCCCAAAGAATATTTCCAACAAAGTCTACACTTTACAAAGATGTTTATGCTTATGTGAGATGGACTTCATTAGCCAAAATATTGGTCATATTACAAATCTCCACCTTGGCCTAATTTTGGCTGATATAGTAAATTTGCTCCACCCTCTCCGCAAAAGCCCCAATGGGCATATGTCAAACTTGAATGCCATCAAAATCAAACAATTTGTCTGATACCGAAACTGTAGTAGGCCCTATAATAGTGTAGCCCAATAAAGTATACAACGAACCATATCTGTGTGCTTTCATGATCACAAGAGCACCTTGAAATATTTTTTGAACTCCACCTTCACCAGTGAATTTGCACCCAAGGGATGCTAAAGTGCCCAAAGAGATGAGATTTTTCTTCAACTCATGAACATATCTAACATCTATGAGAGTTCTCACCACACTATCGTGCATTCTAATCTGAATTGTACCTTTGCCAATAACGTTACAAGTAACATTGTTACCCAGTTGGACAACTCCACTTGCAACTGAATCATATATAGAAAACAAGTCCCTGCTAGGACACATATGATATGAACAACCGGAATCTAAAATTCACTCATTGTCTAATTTGAAACTAGTTTCAGTTGCTAAAAATATAGTTCCCTCAATCTCATCAGTTGCTACACTAGCTTCGGCGGTGTCAATATTTTTGTGCTCATTTTTCCTTTCCTTATGGTTTTCTCTATTTTTCAGCTTATAGCATTCAGAGATAATATGACATTTCTTATGACAATAGCGACACTCTAAATTATTGTATCTGGATATGGAATCGGATTTGCCCCTAACAAACAAGCCAACTTCCGCTTGAGTTCCTCTAGCTTCCCCGGTAATATCACTATCTATCTATTCTTTTGATTTTAAGATAGATTTAATATCCTTATAAGTGATATTATCCTTTGCATAAAGCATAGTATTTTTTATATGTTAAAAGATAGGGGTAGAGAACAAAGCAGTAACACAGCTTGATCCTCATATTTTATTTTTAACATCTAGATTACTCAAATCCATAAGAATGGAATCAAAGGTGTCAAGATGAGAGAGAATAGAGGTACCTTCACCCATACGAATTGTATAAAACGTCTGCTTCAGGTAAAGTCTATTTTTCACCGTTCTCTACATATATAAAGTTTTTAATTTTTTCCACATACCTTTGGTTGTAGTTTCTACAGAAACTTCACGTAAAACGTCATTTGAGAGATTTAAAATGATACATGTTTTTGTCTTTTTATCTATGACGGCAAACTCCTCATCCGTCATTTTATCCAGCTTCTTCTCCTTTCCTTGCAATGCCAAGTCTAAGCCATCCTGAATTAGGATAGCTTCCATCTTTAATTGTCACAATCCGAAGTTTGCACTTCGGTCAAATTTCTCAACATAGGTCTTTGTTAGCATCATTATGGCTATTGAAACAAACCCGGTTAGATCCGGCTCTGATACCAATTTGTTATGATCGAAAATTGGGATAGTGCGGAATATAGCCAAACAACGGTATAATGGCAATAACAAAGATAATGAAAGTTGATAACAATAAAAATTAAAACATATAAAGTAGACACCAATTTAACGTGGTTCAATCAAAGTGACCTACGTCCAGAAGCGGAGAGGAGCAATTTACTATAACAATAAGAGTACAAAAGAGAGTACAAAATTAGTCAAAGTGGCCTAATTTTGGCTGATATAGTAAATTTGCTCTACCCTCCCCGCAAAAGCCCCAATGGGCATATGTCAAACTTGAATGCCATCAAAATCAAATAATTTGTCTGATACCGAAACTGTAGTAGGGCCTATAATAGTGTATCCCAATAAAGTATACAACGAACCATATCTGTGTGCTTTCATGATCACAAGAGCACCTTGAAATATTTTTTGAACTCCACCTTCACCAGTGAATTTGCACCCAAGGGATGCTAAAGTGCCCAAAGAGATGAGATTTTTCTTCTACTCATGAACATATCTAACATCTATGAGAGTTCTCGTCACACCATCGTGCATTCTGATCCGAATTGTAGCTTTGCCAATAACGTTACAAGTAACATTGTTACCCAGTTGGACAACTCCACCTACAACTGAATCATATGTAGAAAACAAGTCCATACTAGGACACATATGATATGAACAACCGTAATCTAAAATTCACTCATTGTCTAATATGAAACTAGTTTCAGGTTCTAAAAATATAGTTCCCTCAATCTCATCTGTTGCTACACTAGCTTCGGCGGTGTCAATATTTTTGTGCTCGTTTTTCCTTTTTTATGCTTTTCTTAATTTTTCAACTTATAGCATTCAGAGATAATGTGACATTTCTTATGACAATAGCGACACTCTAAATTATTGTATCTGGATATGGAATTGGATTTGCCCCTAACAAACAAGCCAACTTCCGCTTGAGTTCCTCTAGCTTCCCAAGTAATATCACTATCTATTTGTTCTTTTGATTTTAAGATAGATTTAATATCCTTATAAGAGATATTATCATTTTCATAAAGCATAGTATCTCTTATATGCTTAAAAGATGGGGGTAGATAACAAAGCAATAACACGGCTTGATCCTCAAATTTAATTTCAACATTTATATTACTCAAATCCATAAGAATGGAATCAAAGGTGTCAAGATGAGAGAGAATAGAGGTACATTTACCCATACGAATTGTATAAAACGTCTGCTTCAAGTAAAGTCTATTTTTCACCGTCTTCTTCATATATAAGGTTTTCAATTTTTCCCACATACCTTTCGATGTAGTTTCTACAGAAACTTCACATAAAACCTCATTTGAGATATTTAAAATGATACATATTTTTTTTCTTTTTATCTATGACGGCAAACTCCTCATCCATCATTTTATCCAGCTTCTTCTCCTTTCCTTGCAATGCTAAGTCTAAGCCATCCTGAATTAGGATAGCTTCCATTTTTAATCGCCACATTCCGAAGTTTGCACTTCGGTCAAGTTTCAAAACATAGGTCTTTGTTAGAGTTATTTTGGCTATTGAAACAAACCCAGTTAGATCCGGCTCTGATACCAAATTGTTAGGATCGGAAATCCGGATAGTGCGGAATATAGCCAAACAACGGTATAATGGCAATAACAAAGATAATGGAAGTTTATAACAATGGCAATTAAAACATATAAAGAAGACACAAATTTAACATGGTTCGGTCAAAGTATCCTACGTCCAGAAGCGGAGAGGAGCAATTTACTATAATAATAAGAGTACAAAAGAGAGTACAAAATTAGAGTAAACACTCTAATTAATCTCAAATACCCTAAGAGAATAACCTCACAAGATCACTCCAAAGAAAGGGTTCACACAAGTGCTTTCCAACACTAACTCTCATACAAAACACTCTTAATAAAGGAGGAAAGGAAGAAACAAGAATTAAAGACAAGTCTTGTTGGTGTGTCTAAAATGAACTAATGACCTTCTTTTTTATAGGCAAAAAAGTCTTGGCCTATTAGGTGTAAAAGAAGAGATACAACTTGTGCAAATGATATCCACCATACAATGCAATATTTTTGGGTCCCAAAGAGTATTGCCAACAAAATCTACACTTTGCAAAGATACTTATTCTTATAGAGGTGGAATTCATTAGCCAAAATATTGTCCATATTACAAGTTACTTGAAGAATAAATCATACAACCTCCTACAACAATAGATTTTTGTCTTTTGGCAATATTAACTAACAATAGTTTTTTTTATTTTAGGTGGAGTAGTTGGAATCATTTTGGCTGTAACATTGATGAGAATGTCATAAGAGAAACTGGTGAGTATTAACTACTGATACTAAGTGATTTACTATTTGTTATTTGCCTGCATTGCTTAATTTAACCGCTGATGTTGAACTTTCTTTTGTTTGACAGCTGATGCCTTGGTTTCAACTGGTCTTGATAAGCTTGGATATAAGTATGTTAATATCGGTATGTCCTCAACCAAAGATGGATCCAGGAATTAGAAACAATGGATAAATCTTTTAATATATACACATAAGTTTTAAGAAATCTTTCTATACAACGATCTGAGTCCAAAATAGTTGGTGCTACTAATCAATAGAAATTGTTTGTTTATTAATATATAATATACATATTTTATACATAATCAATGTATATTTTGGCTAGCGGATGTAATTATTTTTGGTCAACCTGTCAAATGTGTTAAAAGCCCGCTACTAAAGCCATGTGTAACATTTTTCTTTTTAGATGATTGTTGGGTTGAACCTGTAACGATCCGACCGGTCGTTTTAAGCATTTACACTCCTTTCAACTATTTGAGGTCTTGCATAACTTCCTACGAGGTATTATGACTTGTGTGAATTGTCGGTTTGGTTTTAAGGTATTTCGGAGTTAACTTGGAAGAATGAATTTCATGTTGGAAGCTTAAGTTGAGATAGTTGACCGGATGTTGACTTATGTGTAAACGACCCCGAAATAGAGTTTTGATGATTCCAATAGCTCTGTATGGTAATTATGGACTTAGGAGCGTGTCCGAAAAATTATTTGGAGGTCCGTAGTAGAATTTGGTTTGAAATGCCGAAAGTTAAATTTTTGGAAAGTTTGACCGGGGGTTGACTTTTTGATATCGGGGTCGGAATCCGATTTCGAAAGTTGAAATAGGTTCGTTATGTCATTTATGACTTGTGTGAAAAATATGAGGTCAAACGGACTTGATTCGATAGGTTTCGTCATCGAATGTAGAAGTTGTAAATTTCATAAAAGACTAAAGCTCAAGTGAGTTCGCACAAGACCCAACTTCAAATGAGTATAATTCTCATGCTATGAAGTGTTATATGATGTATTGCCTATCAAATGAAAGATCTTTGAGTCTAGTTTCTAACTCTTCAAACCGTTTGTCATTTGGACATTCCTACAAGAAGTTATGACAGAACCTCAACGCGATGATCAGGTGACCTTGTCTCAACTGAAAACTGTGTTTAGTACTACTTGCAGCAGAAAACTGCAGTTATTATACTTGCAGCAGAAAAATGCCTGGTTCACTTGGTCATGAGGAACAAGATGCAAAATCTTTTGCAGCATGGGTGAGTAATATTTTCTTGATTAATTTTGATATTTTATAATTGTAAAACAATTCGAATATAATTGTAAGTAACAGCATTTTCATTCAGGGAATTGATTATTTGAAGTATGACAATAGCAACCATGATGGAACAAAGCCAACTGTGCGGTAAATATCTGTTGTTTCTGTTCAACTCGCGAAATCATGTGTGACAGATTCCACTAGTCATCTATGGTATGTTTTTTTCTTAACAGGGGGTCCTGTCTTGTGTAGGTATCCTGTAATGACAAGAGCTCTCATGAACGCTGGACGGCCTATCTTCTTTAGTCTTTGTGAATGGTGTGACACATGTTTCCCCTAGTAAGGCCTACACTTATGATTTCTTCTTCTCTGGTTTCTCTGCTCACATTTCACACTATTATAATGATACTATGTATGTACCTATCTAATTTATATAGGGGTGACTTGCATCCGGCATTGTGGGGTGGCAAAGTAGGTAACAGTTGGAGAAACACAATCGATATTCAGGATACATGGGAAAGGTAATACCTTTATAAAGTGATAGATTTCATGTATCTTTGATCTTGAAAATCTTTATCTTTCCTTTATTTGACAGCATGATTTCGCGAGCAGACCAGAATGAAGTTTATGCAGACATTGCGCAACCTGGTGGTTGGAATGGTTAGTATTAAACATGATGCTTTTTTATTTTTTGTTAAAATCCCATATTCTTACAATGTTTGAAAACAGATTCTGATATGCTTGAGGTGGGAAATGGAGGAATGACAAAGGATGAATACATTGTCCACTTTAGTCTCTGGGCGATTTCAAAGGTAAAAAAAAAAAGGCAAATTTATATTTCACTTTTTATTAGAACTATTTGTGCTTCTCGGGACAGAATGTATGATTCAGTTTGAGCTTTGTTGCTAATTCCAGGCTCCCCTTATCATCGGTTGTGATGTGAGAAACTTATCAAATGATACCAAAGAAATACTTGCCAACAAGGAGGTCATTGCTGTGAACCAAGGTATTATACCACATATTATGTTAACATGAACTAGTCATTAGTATACGCGAAACCAGATCCTTTTGAGTAGTTTTCAAGGGTATTAACACTCATTTCATTGCTTTAAACAGATGAATTAGGTATCCAGGGAAAAAAGGTTAGAATGCAAGGCGATCTCGAGGTGTGGGCAGGGCCTCTATCAGGCTATAGAGCAGCTCTAGTGCTTCTCAATCGCGGCTCAACTAAAATAGAAATAACAGCTCTCTGGGAAGACATTGGGATTCCTCCTAACAGTGTTGTAGAGGCAAGAGACCTTTGGGAGGTATGTGTTTTTGTTACAAAGTATGTGTTTAAGTTACAAACTTACAAATTCCTAACTTTGTTCTATTGAAAATTCCAGGATAAAAGATTTCAAAGTTAATCACAAAGGCAGAACTTTAATTTATAACCATTATTCACTCACTGATTGCTACTCCCTCTGTTTCAAAAAGATTGACATTATTTCCTTATTAATCCGTTTCCAAAAGAGTGGCACCTTTCAATATTTCCTTAATAAGAAGTATTTATAGCCACACGAATTCTATATGACAGGTTTAAGCCACAAGTTTCAAAAGTTTTACAGCCACACAAATGTTGTGGCTTATTTAAGATCACATATCTCAAAAGTTCTCTTCTTTATTAAAGTTTGTGTCAAGTCAAACTAGGACAATCTTTTTAAAACGGAGGGAGTAGCTCTCTACATATTGTGGGATTATTTTTGCATATTTTTTGTTACAAAATAACATGCTTGTGATTTTGAGATGCAACACAACACATTGGAGTCAAGATTTGCGGGGAATTTGACAGCAACAGTGAACTCTCATGCATGCAAGATGTATGTATTGAAGCCTATTGCTTCATGAGGATTCAGAGAATGCTTGGCACCAGAATTCAAAATTTTCTTCCTCCCATTTTGTTATATGCTTAGATACCAAAACTAAACTAGCTAGTCATTTGTCTTTGTTTTGTTCTATATGCAGTTGAAGATTTCTTTTATGTTCTTGTTGGTGATTTCTGATGTGAATTCAGACAGAGTATTAATTAAACATCACTAAGAGCCCGTTTGGCCAAGCTTCTTGGAGTGACAAAAAGTACTTTTTCAAAAATTTAAGGTGTTTGGCCAAGATGAAAAAATATTTTTGAGCATCAGAAGTAGTTTTTCTGCTTTTGAGAAGAAGGTACAAATTCTAGCTTCTTCCAAGAACCGGAAACAAAAAATTATTTTATTCAAGACAAATATATATATATCAATATGGTAGTTGGCGGTGGTGATAGCTAACAGAGGTGCTTGTGAGTGTCAACTAGAGGCGGTAGTTGGTTGGTGGTAATTTTGGTTGATAGTGGTGGTTCTCGGTAGTAGCTAGTGGTGATTGATAGCGATAACGATTATGATTGAGGATATGTATGTGTGTGTGTGTGTGTGTGTGTTATTATGGTTGTAACGACCCGACCGGTCGTTTTGAGCATTTTCGCTCCTTTCAACTATTTGAAGTCTTGAATAACTTCCTACGAGCTATTATGACTTGTGTGAATTGTCGGTTTTGGTTTTAAAGTATTTCGGAGTTAGCTTGGAAGAATGAATTTCATGTTGGGAGCTTAAGTTGAAAAAGTGGATCGGATGTGGACTTATGTGTAAACGACCTCGGATTAGAATTTTGATAATTTTAATAGTTCCGTATGGTGATTTTGAACTTAGAAGTGTGTTCGAAAAATTATTTGGAAGCCCGTAGCTAAATTAGAACTGAAATGGGTAAAATATAAAGTTAAATTTGGAAGTTTGACCGGTGAGTTGACTTTTTGATATCGGGGTCGGAATTCGATTCTGAAAATTTGAATACCTCCATTATGTCATTTATGACTTGTGTGCAAAATTTGAGGTCAATCGGACTTGATTTGATGTGTTTCAGCACAAGATATAGAATTTGTAAGTTCAAAGTTCATAGATTTTGATTTGAGGTACGATTCGACGTGTTGATGTTATTTGATGTGCTTTGAGGCCTCGAGTAGGTTCGTGTTATGTTATGAAAGTTGTTGGTATATTTGAACGGGATCCCAAGTGGCTCGGGTGAGTTTTGAGCGAGTACGGGCTTTTCGACACTCTAATGTTATTTTGGGGGTCTTTGGAAGTGCAGACCGCACATTTTGGGAGTGCTGAGGAAAAAAGGGAAGTGCGGACTTCAGGGGAATTATGCGGACCGCACAATTTTTACTGCGGCCACACTTCAAGCTATAGAGGAGTGTGCCCACACAATTTTGTGCAATTTTGTGTGCGGCCGCACTCAGGAACTCTCATATTCACTGGTCCGATTTTGAAAGCTTATATCATTTGATCTACAAGGTATTTGGAGATGATTCAAAAACAAAAGTTGTAGCTCTTCGTGTCTAGTTTCCTGAAAGATAGAGAAGTCACCATTTGAAAATCTGTAGAGAAATCTATGGCCAAACAACTAAAGCCTGGCAGTGCAGTCACCAAGAGAGTGCGGCTGCACAATTTTTGTGCGACCGTAGGAGCTGGGATGTGCGGCCGCACTTGGAATTGTGCGGACCGTAGGAGCTTAGGTTATTATTTCATTTTTGGACCTTGGGAGCTCGGTTTGAGACGATTTTTCGTGGGTTTTTCAAGAAATTCATCGGGGTAAGTGATTCTAACTCAGATTTGGTTAACATACATGAATATATCGTTGTTTTCATCATGTAATCAGTATTTTGAAATGGAAATTTGGGAGAAATTATAGAAATATCATAACATGAATTTTTGGGATTTGAATACCGATTCGAAGTCGGATTTGAGTGAAATTAGTATGGTTGAACTCGTAATTGAATGGGTTATCGGATTTTGTAACTTTTGTCGGGTTCCGGGACGTGGGCCCCACGGGGGATTTTTGAGTTAAATTTCGGATTCTTATGGAAAATTTGTATTTTTCTTATGGAATTAATTCCAATAAATTTTATTAACTGAATCGAATTATTTGTGGCTAGATTCGAGGCGTTTGGAGGCCAATTCACGAGGCAAAGTCTTAGTGGAATAAGAATTTTGCGGTTTGATATAAGTAACCGTTATAAATTTGGTCCTGGGGGTATGAAACCCCAGATTTTGTATCATGTGATTATTTTAGAGGTGGCGCACATACTAGGTGACGGGCGTGTGGGCATGCACCGAGGGGATTGTAACTTGGTCCGTCCCGTGGAAACTGTAAAGTTGAATAACTTGTTATTAGCTATATGCTCTCTATGTGTTGTGGAAATTTGACTATAAGTCATGCTAGAAACCATGTTTAGGCTATATGTTGGTACTGTTGGGACCCACAGAGGTCGTGTACATGTTGAACTATCTGCTTAATTATTGTTTTGTACTCAGTCAGAGTTTACTTGATTATTTTATCCCAGTCTTTATTGTTCATTATTAATACATCATATCATTTTTGTTTGGGCTGATTTCATGATTGTTGAGAGCCCGAGAGACTGGAGATATTTATGATTGAGCGAGGTCGAGGGCCTGATTGTGAGATATTATACTATAGCATGTGAGTTGTGCAGCACGTGAGTTGTCCGTGCGAATCCAGATATTATACTATAGCACATGAGTTGTCCGTGTAGGACGTGAGTTGTCCGTGCGGATCCAGGTATTATACTATAGGACGTAAGTTATCCGTGCAGCACGTGAGTTGTCTGTGCGGATCCAGATATTATACTATAGCACGTGAGTTATCCATGCAGCATGTGAGTTGTCCGTGCAGATCCAGATATTGATACTATAGCACGTGAGTTGTCCGTGCAGCACGTGAGTTGTCTGTGCGGATCCAGATATTATACTATAGCACGTGAGTTATCCATGCAGCATGTGAGTTGTCCGTGCAGATCCAGATATTGATACTATAGCACGTGAGTTGTCCGTGCAGCACGTGAGTTGTCCATGCAGATTATAGCGCTTGGGATGTAGGAGCACCTCCGGAGTCTGTAAACCCACAGTGAGCGCGGGTACCCATTGAGTGTGAGTCCTGAGGGCTAAGAGCCCAGTGAGTGATTGTTGTCCTGAGAGGCTGTACTTTTTTTTCATTGGTTGATGCACTTAGTTGCTATTTGTTATTGTGGTAAAATTCCTGAAGGATTCTATGTCCGGATTACATGAACTTGAACTGTATAAAATTGATTTGATTTAAACTTCTGGATTTGAAAGCATGTCTATTCTTTGCTGGAATTACTGAAAATGAACTATAAATGTGTAGCTCGTCACTATCTTCAGTTCTTTATTTATTATTGTTACTTGCTGAGTTGGTTGTACTCATACTACACCTTCCACTTCGTGTGCATATCAAAGTGTTCCCGGACATAGCGGGTGTTGCTTTTCTCGCACAGTTGAATTTTTAGAGATTCAGAGGTAGCTGCCGTGTTTCGCAGACCTTGCCTCTCCTTCCCTATCTCCTTGTTTATTGTATTTGGTCTCACACTATTGTAGACCGTATTTTTTTAGGACTTGTATTTCTACTAGATGCTCATATACTCAGTAACACCGGGTTTGGGGAGTATTTATATTTGTACTTGTGAGATCTCTTTCACTGAATTGAATCATTATGTTTTCAAATTTAAAAGAGATGCGGTTTATTGAGGTTGTCGGCTTGCCTAGTATTGAGATAGGCGCCATCACGACGGGTGAGATTTTGGGTCGTGACAAGTTGGTATTAGAGCCTAGGTTACATAGGTCTCACGAGTCATGAGCAGGTTTAGTAGAGTCTTGCGGATTGGTACGGAGACGTCTGTACTTATCTTCGAGAGGCTAACAAACCCTTAGGAAAAATTTTCGTTTCTTGTATTTTATCATGCGGAATTGATTCATCTTGAAACCTGACTCTTTGAATTCCTTCCACGCATTTGTATGCGCACATGAGCGCTCGGTATCAGCTATGCGTCGCCGGCTTGTGATTCTATGAATGAGGTTCAAGATGTGTATTATGTATTTTGGTGATGGGCTAGTCTGGTGGACTTGAGGTCAGGGTCAAACCGCAGCTTAAGCTCGGTAGCTTCAATTGTAACATGTACATTTGGACTCATATATCCGGTAATGTCCCTATGAGTGGAATTTATGGCTCGATGAGCGGTGGAATGGATTTGTGATGAGCATGATGTAACTGCGGGATGTGTTAAGACAATTTGAATATGACGAGAAGTGTTTCCTTGAAATGTAAAGGAAGTCCATTGGGTGCTTTATTTTTGTTTTGATGTGACGTACAATATCGTGTGTGAATGTTTTGAAAGATCTTTCACGTTGTTAAATTTTGGGGCAAATTAAATTCTCGTGTCTGGTTAATAAGTTTAGACTTAGAAAGATTAAGTGATTTCATAGTAATTGTGGATGTAAAAGAGTATAAAAAGATGCCAATTTGAGACTAAGCATGTGGATTGTCTCCTGCAGAGTAATCTATGTAGGCGTGTTTCTTATGATATGAATAGAGAATTTCTTTTCTGCTAGCGAGGCGAATGTGTTGAGACTTGAATTTGAATCTGGTTGAGAAAGTTGGCTTGAGTGTTAAGAGAATGAATGTGAGATTAGCGGATGATTGATGTATTTTATGGTTAGTGTCTTGAGCTTGAGAAGAATTTTCATTGAACTGACTGCGGTATTAAGGCAGTAATAAAGTATGGGTATTGTGAGTTATCAAGTATTTTATTCTATGGCTTTGAGCCAAGTGGGGAGCCTTCTATTTACAATTCAATTCATGGTTATGTGTCAAATATTTTTTGTGTGTTTTGGTCTGAAGCATACTTGGGAATCAGTAATGACTTGCAGAGGTAGAGTTCGAGAATGACTCGAGTAAGAAAATTTCTGGATACGGGTTACATTGAACTTTATGAAAATATGAAAATTATAGAAT